TTTTTTTGTACAGTATATTTGAAAATAATGCCTTTCCAAAATTCCCCAGTTTGACTTCCATCGAAAAGTCCTGAAAACGTGCCAGAAAATGTACCAGAAATGTCCCACTCCACGATGGATTGATTATTTTCTTAAGGTGCCCATAGATTTTTTTTTCCAAAAAGGAAATCTGTAGGTACTTACCGGCAAATTTAACGTGGAATTTGTTTTCTGGCTTGAGAATCTGTACGTAGAGCGGACAGTTAGGAGCAAAGTCCTTTGCGGCCCAAGCCCTCAAAATAGTCTGATGGTCCTGTGGAGGAGAGGCACCCAAGTGAGTTCAACAGAAAACAATCATAAATAATCCAATAACTGCGTCGAGCAATGCTTTCCTCTGAGGTGCAAAGACACTTTTTAACAGTGTGTCGAGGTACAAAAAAATTAAAATAAATAAATTGCTCCATTGTGTGATGTGTCACAGTTTGAGTTTGACAAGTGGTTTTGTGACTTACTGCAGCAGTTCGGTCACCCTCATTCCTGCTGCTGAGGATGAAACAAGCCTCGGCATCGTCCATTCTGAAACAGATGGTTGACAATCATTAACAGCAACTAATTCTATATCACTAAAATGAGATTTCAGTGGTGCCTTGGTTGAACAGTTTAATTAGTCCCGTGATCAAGCTTGCAACTCAAAACACTTTTGCCTCTCAAATCTTTCCACATTAAAATGAATAGAAATGCTATTTATCTGTTCAAACCCTCGCTAAAACAGCAATTTTGTATGGCACTCTACGGTATTGCAATTTATAAAAAATATACACCACAGTAACAACATAATAAAATCAAATGAAAACAATCAAAACAGTTTGTGCATCATGATTTCATTCAACGATTGTGCGACTACTTCTGGTGTGTGTGACTTGACCAACAGGGGGCAGTATTATACATACACGTACATACATGAACCCCGAAAAAAAAACATGACGACTACTGTCACATTATTTCGAGTTTCTGATTTTAAACTGTTGCAGGTTTTGTTATATTAAAAAAAGGAGCACAGGCTTGATACAATGTAGCTTAAGATGAGATGTACCCGACATCTTTTTGATTCACTTGTCTCCTTGAAAAAAACTGTGAATTAACTGTTTTTTTTTTGTTTCTTTTTTAAATTGAAATTGATTGAATCAATCAATCAGTCGATCAATTATAGGTATGTTTCATCCGCAGAGAATTTGATACTTTCAAAGACAAGTTACATGTCAGCGGTGGCTAACGCGGCATCCTTGTAAGACTCACTTGGCCCTCATCAGGTCCTGGTCTTTGAGAGCGGATCCTTGAAGGTAGATGACCCTCTGGGACCACAGCGGTATCTGGAGAATGCGGCGAACCTGAATGTCTATATCGGTGGGACACAGGATCACCACGTAATAATCCTGCAAGACAGACGAAAGTCACGATGCTATAAAAAGAGTAAACACTCATCGAGCAATATGCAAAAAGACAAAGCCCGCTATTCGCTCTCTCTAAACTGTACCTGCAACCTGGGATGAGCATAGAACTCATTGAGGAAATCCATCAGCAGGTCTATCTTCAGCGAGCTGACACACAACACCACATGCTTCTCCGTCTGTGCTCGGTGGCGACTGTAGTTTCCGCCTAATTTCTGGCTCTCCATCCACAGGTACGCAAGCTCTTCAAACTGAAAAACAAAAATACGATTTTAAGGCCGAAAGACACGAAAAAGAACGAAGCAGCGAAGCCCCTCGAGACACCGGTGTTGACTTGCTACCTGCAGCGGGAGCACCACCAGGGCCACGCAGATGAGGATGACCACCAGTAGCTGTGAGGGCCAGATCTGAGGCGTCACATCTCCGTAGCCCACGGTGGAGAAGGTCACGATGCAGAAGTAAAAGGAGTCAAACAGGGTCAGGTGCTTTCCAGCTCTCTCTAGGTGCTGGATGCCACAAGCACTGAAGACAAATGGAACAACACAAATGTGCTCTCAAAAAAATGAGCCGAAGGAAGTTGCTTCTGTAATCAGAATCAAAGTCTCCATGATTGAAGTAGCGACGCCATTTACAAATTGACCGCTTGTATTAATACGATTTTTGGTGATTTAATGTGTGCGATGGGTCAACGCCACTTCAAAGCCGAAAAAAATGTAAAAGTCTACATTGCCGGCTATCGTGTCCCCACAAAGGAAAATAGAATCCGGCAATACCAAAACTAAGGTGAAGAATTAAAAAAAAAAAAAAAAAAACTAAAAACTAAAATATGATTCATACTGCTTGACTGGTTGCAGCTCAAAGAAGAACATATTTAGTATTTGTGTATTCTTATTGAGAGGTAAGATATTGACCGATGTAAAAACCAATTGTGGCAAAGAATGAGGAAACCGATGCAACTGGTGACAAGACATAATTCTGTTTCGAAACTACCCGCTGCTAAATTAATGCAAAAGTATGGATGGGTATATCTGTTTAGCTCCATTAGCGTGATTTAAAGATTTAGACCTAAAGAAAAAGTCAAATGCCAGACATCAAGATATAAATGTCAGACGTTGAAACAGGTTATTTTACTGACAATGTAACAAAATAGCACAGTGAGTTCTCATGACATGCGTAACATTGATGGCGGCGCTCTTGAGTCGATATTCACTCACCCGGTGAAAACCAGACACAGTAAAGTGCAGAAGAGGATGAACACCTGGTTGAACATGGCCGAGTGTGTCCTTTGTATGGCACGGTGGAAGTCATTCTGAGGACACGACACAAGAAGCTAGTTTTCACCGCTCATCTTGACTTGTCCCCCCTCCTGTTACATCAATAGTTGTTGTTCACAGTTGTTCCATGTTAGCATGCTTGAAATCTCGCCACCTGTTCGGCATGGCCTTATTCTGCTTGGCAGCGGTTTACACCAGCTGGCTGACAACCTCACTGGCCGGAAGCGCTTCCTCAGAATCTCATGCCACTTTTTACCTACCTTACATCCTGAATGTGGTAAGTGGATGCTCCACCAGCAAGGTTGAATGTTAAGATTTGGCAACACCTTTTCTTCAACAAATTAATACATATTTTAGGTACGGCCATGATAAACAATTCACTGAGAGGGGGCGGCCATTTTGTCTTGTACTACCACTTGCCGTCGACCCAAAATGACATCACAGTGCCAAAGTGCTCAGGTTGCGGCAGTCACCTGACCAAACCTGTGACCTCTGGATGACCCTGGACGGGTATATGTTTTGGTGTCACCAGAATTTCGTTTCCTACAGACTCTTCTTGCATGAACACAAGTATTCCGAATGTCATTCGGGAGTCACAGAAACGTGGTTACCGTCATAACTTTTGATTTACTCTTTCACTGTTTTGAGATTCTCTCACACCATGGTCAAACAGGACTCGGAAAAGCCTCAGTGTACTCAACCGTTGTAGCACTTGTATGTTTTAAAACATTTTGATTTTTTGTGTATGTTGGGTCATTTTAGGAAACATTCTCAAAATTCAGGGTGAAAGAATGATTTTGTCTCCATATCTCAAATGGATACTTACGATCATGTTTTCCAGCGCTCCTTTGGCTAGCCAGCAGTTTAGAAAAACAGGAACAAATATGTTTCGCAAAGGAGGCCAGAAGATCTGGAAAAAGCACAGGCATAAGGTGAGTCAGTCAATGATGGGGTGTTTTCGTCCACCGATCGAACACAACCATGAGATACCAAACAGATTTAGAGTCGAAAGAAAGGCCCGCGCTCATGACTTACTGTGATAATAAATGGCACTGTATTGATCATCTCCAATATGAAGGATATCTGGAATAGCTGCTCCCAAATGTTGCCCTGTGGAGCAAATTGATGATCGGTAAATAATTGTGGTGCGAGAGTAAAAAAATAAAATAAAATAGAAAAATGTTCCACCTTCTGCTATTTTGCCCAGATTATTTTTCTGTGTAATTATATATACAAACGATCTACACCAAATTACTGAAGATCCATAATAATGATGATGATTACAAAAATACTGAAGTCCACAATAATAAAAAGCTTGGCGACAACTCAAACACCGTGCTAGCCTGACTTAGGCTAGACTATTTAAGCTTTGTCTTTGCGAGCGAATTAAAATTTGAGTAACAAGCACGAGGTGGTTGCGGCAATCTTCTGAATAAGCAGCAGTTTGGCAGGAAGTGAACAATTCTTCAAAGAGGGCCAATGCTTGTTTCAAGCTGTTTTATGCCACAGTTAAAGTTTACTGTCAAACGAAACATAAAACAAAGAAAATTACACATTGCATATTGAACCAAGCCACATCTCTTTGCCTTACAGAGGTACGTTAGATTAATGCCATCACGATGCACAATGCAACATCAGTACTGTGGTACTTATAATCCTTAGGGAAATGGCTATTTAAACACTAACGGCACAGCAACACATGTAGATATACAACACAATAACTTTACACAAGAATAAAATTCACACAGGAATATCTATTCTTTATCCACCGCTAAAACCAATTTACTGCAGCTTACTGAGCTGTTGCGACGCTTATTTTTGATTATTCTGTTTCACTGGAGAAAGAGGATTTAACAGTAGATGCAAGTGTCTTGAATTCGGAGTCTGGTCACAAAATGAATTAAACTCATAAGTCAAGCCCCGCTGTGCTCAATGTGCACAAGTAAAGATCAGAAGTCAGTGAATCAACTTGTCATTGCCAAATTTGAATCTGACATGATGTCTTGGTACGAGGTTTTTAATTGTAGCCGCGGTAAACGGCTAAACAAACTTGGGGGCAGGCATTAAGACACGTTTGGAAGCCGCAAACTGTTCTTTCTTTACCTTGTAGCTGAGATATGTGATCAGCATGGTCTCCAAGAAACTGATTAAAGCCACTGTCACCTGAAGTGCAACAGAAGAAGAGTTCAGTGAAACTTTGGAATTAAAGAAATGTGTTGTGCTGTGTGTGTGTGTATGTAAAAGCCACGTAACACAAACACAAGTCAGAGAAGATCAAAATTGAATATGATAAAATAAATGCCTCCATCCATTTACTTAAGTGCTTGTCCTCATTAGGGTTAGAGGTGAGCTGGAGCCGATCCCAGCTGGCTTATCGCCAGCCAATCGCAGAGCACATTTAGACAAACAAACATTTATGCTCACAGTCAAACTTATGGGCCATTTAGAATCTTCAGTGAACCTAAAATGAATGCGCAGGAAGGCCGATTTGAAGTCCTAAACTCAGAACTGTGAGGCAAAAATGCTAACCACTGACACAGCGTGCTAATCTTGACAAATCACATGAAAAAAATGTATACACTCACCTGTATTGCCCACAATGGATCAGGTCTCGTCACCCATAAAATCAACTTCCTTTTAAAAAGTACGAGTCCATTAGTGCAAGATACTAGACATGCAGTACATCTTAATGCTGAGCGATGACAACCACTTGATGACATGCAGGTATCTTTTTTTTTGAACCATGTGAACAACGAAAGTGAGGAAGTGGATGATGTTCATTGAAATAAAGCTTGAAATCAAAATCAATGTGAGTGATGTGTGCCTGGCAAGACTGTTACATGGGTTGTACTTCTACACATTATAATGAGGCGTAAAGAGTGAATCAAGGCCAACCAAGGGTGTTAAATAATTTCTAAGTTGTCTATGAAAATCCAAAGAAGTTGCTGAAAGTGGGGAAACTGTGGCGGGAAAGGGGAAAAAAGCGGATAGAGGTCAGTGGAAGTGAGGTTTCTGTATGTTTTATACTGCCTCCTGGTGGCCAAGGGAATGCACATGAAACATGCTCACTGAATTAATGCATGAATTCATGATAAATAAATAAATAAATAAATAAATAAATAAATAAATAAATAAATAAATAAATAAATAAATAACAAAAAAATAAAATAAAATCACCCACAATTTTTTTTTCGGATGGGGGCGCTGGAGAGAATTAATAGGATTTGTATTTATTTTGTTGATTTGTGAAATAGAATGAATTAAACTCAATAGTCAAGGTACCACTGTATGTTGCAGTAGACGGGTGAACGTACCAGTTGATTTCTGGTGACTCCGCTGCCGAATTTGGCCAGCTGGCATTTCGAATGATTGCACTGTGACTAGAAAAAAAAAAGAAAAAGAGCATGAATACATGACTCACATCAAATATGACCAGGAGTTAATGTGCACTTCTTTAATTCATCTGCTTGATCATACAAAATGTCCCTTTTGTCCAGTCAAATCCATCAGTATAAAGAGGTGATGAATGAACTTTGGTGACCCTCACCATGGGTTTCCATGAGTCTCCTTGGGGTCGTCTAGGGTGACTCTCACGGTGTAGAGGACGCAGGTGAGGATCTTCAGGGAGAAGTTGAACAGGCGGATCCTCAAGCCTGTGGAAACGCAAAAACACTTGACCGTGCACAACATATGTCCGCTTTAAGCATGCGTCCACTACATTTCCACCTTTATGGGCTCAGCGTTGTTATTTTGTGGTGAGGTGTGGATAATAGAACTTCCCACTGTTCTCGCATTCCGTCACCACTAATTTCCATCAGGAGATTAGCTTTCATATCCTAAAAGAATAGCACGACATAACTTTCACTGTTAAACAAATTCAGTGATTGATGACGATTAATCAGAAAGTGGGCGGCAGTGGCTTTTGCTGACCAGATGGCGGTGCCAGCTGTGTTGCCCGATTGCTGAGGCAAGGCTGGCGTCGATGTTTACTCATTGCGTGCCAGCCATTTTCAGAACCTTCTTTACCTTCCCACGTGAATAAAAAAAAAAAAAAAAAACGTACCTGGGATTGAGTGCCTGGATTCTTGAAAAACATGAAAAAACGTTCTCGGCATTCAATGAGTTTTAAAATGATTTGGCAGCGGCTGAGCATCGATCGGTAACAATGTGGCCCCGCAGCAAACAATGACATTTTCATTAAATTCTGTCGCCTTTTGTGGAAGGGCTCCATTAATGGAGCGGATCCTGAGAGCTTTACCGAAGGACAACCGGTGTGAGAGATGTTTTGATCCTTTGTTTGTTTCATTTCCTCATTAGAACAATTTGCCACCCTTCCTCTCAACAACGAATTATAGCCACAATATGAGGCCTAATGTAATTATCAAAAGCCCAAGTGAGACAGAGATTGGATGCTTCATCATCGAGCGAATATGCACTGTGAGCCTTCAACCATTTGCTTTGCCGGATATTGCGTTGGCTGCTCTACTTACTTGACCTTTGGTTTTTGATGAAGAAAAGCTTCAGCCTCTCCTTAAAGGTGTTTTCGTTCACGTAGAACTCCACCTGCACCCTGTCGGGAGACCAATCGCATCTTATCTGAAATGTTCATATTTCATATTCACGTTTGAAAGCAAAGTGCGGTGGTCTTCGAAAGAGACAAGCAGTTCACGCTTTGATTTGGTGAGCGCTCATGTCACGTTGTTTATGAGTACACATACGTACAGTAGGCGTCAGTGCATCCTGCCATCTTCAAACTGACACAAAGGTGGTTTCTTACAACCGTTTTGGATCCGAAACAGCCCAATTTGGCAAAGAGAAGGCGCGCAAGTGCAAAAAATATCATTGTTATTCAGAACATATTCATTTTCAAGACTTGTAGTAAGAGTTTATATCCATCCATCCATTATCTGAACCGCTTTATCCTCACGAGTATCGCCGGTGTGCTGGAACCGATCCCAGCTGTCTTCAAGCAATGGGCGAGGTGCACCCTGAACTAGTTGCCAGCCAATCGCAGGGCACACAGAGACGAACAACCATCTACGCTCACACTCAATTAGGGACAATTTAGGGTGCGCCATTGACCTGCCATGCATGTTTTTGGAATGTGGGAGGAAACCAGAGTACCCGGAGAAAACCCACATGGGCACAGGGAGAACAGCAAACTCCACACAGGAAGGCCACAGCCAGAATCGAACCCAGGACCTCTCCACTGCGAGGCGGATGTGCTAAGCAGTCGCCCACCGTTGCCGCCCGAGTGCACATTTACGAGGAAATTTAAAAACTATAGAAAGCAGATTTGCAGATCGCACTTTTGTTTCAACGGCAGTGGAGTACTCGGCAGAATACTACTTCCTGGAGGAGTGGTATCCAAGAGCGGCAGCTCCATTTCCCAAAGATGATGTCACGCTCTTCGTATTTAGACCACAAACTATGCTCAGAGTGAATCAACAGCCTCCTTGATCAATGCAGCCGACTTGTACGCTCCATTTTGCTGATTGATGATTACTTAACTTTCACATTGAAATGAACAGAAATTTCAGTGATCAAGAAATTGATGATTTTACTTATCCCTCTGTGCTGGAACCGATCCCAGCTGTCTTCAAGCAATGGGCGAGGTGCACCCTGAACTAGTTGCCAGCCAATCGCAGGGCACACAGAGACGAACAACCATCTACGCTCACACTCAATTAGGGACAATTTAGGGTGCGCCATTGACCTGCCATGCATGTTTTTGGAATGTGGGAGGAAACCAGAGTACCCGGAGAAAACCCACATGGGCACAGGGAGAACAGCAAACTCCACACAGGAAGGCCACAGCCAGAATCGAACCCAGGACCTCTCCACTGCGAGGCGGATGTGCTAAGCAGTCGCCCACCATTG